TATCTTCTTGTGGTAATGCATCAATAATTTGTGCAAGTCAATTCAAAACTAACTTTCTAGATAAAACAAAAATCACAAACTATCTATTTTATTAAATTTCTTACTTTGTATCATGACAACTTAAATAATTATTAACAATAAGACGATGAAGAAGTTTAAGTAAATCTTCAAAATTATCTTTGGTTAAACTTGTTAAACTCATCACACTATTTGTATCATTTTGTTTAAATAAATCTGAATTATGAATAAAATGTTCATGTCTAAAAATAATCTTATTTAATAAAAAAAAAAACTTCCTTCCTAAATAAATAAATAACGCTGCACAATGAGAATAAAGTGTTTTCCACATACCATAATGAACAGCTGAATATTGTCGAGCTAATTTCGAATTTGTTAATTGAAGATGTTTAGCAAGTAATTGAAATAATGGTGATGAAAGTGCATACATCTACAGAAAATAAACTATATTTCCTTATCAAATCTTGTTTAATAACATACTCCAATGAAATTTCCCTTCACATTTCCGATTTGACACAATGCACTACAATCAAAAATCAATGTTGTTTCTGCATCATCTTTATTTAAATCACTCGTGGTTGGAGATGATAATGTTTCACTACCAATAACAATTGCTTTCTGTTGAAGTGCTTGTAAAAGTATATTAAAATTCGTTGTCATCTCAGCTAAAATAGTTTGATAAACTTGTTGAACAACTGGAATACTTTTGATTCTTAAAAGACGATTAAAAAGATGTTTTACATCTTGAATATGCTAGAAGAAAATAATCGAAAGAAAAATCATAAAGAAAATTTTGTTTTCTAATCTTACAGAATTCGAATATAAAAATCGCTAAAGACATATTCGAGAATTGGCTGCAAATATTAAACTTGCTAATATTGTACATCAAAAATGATCAGCTAAATCAATAATATTTAAAACTAAACGAAGTAAATTAGCATCGGCTTCATATGGCCAATCTTGTCTATGAAGAATGGTTTGTTGAATAACAAAATCAAATATATCTTTTTCAAGTTGTTCATCAAATTGTGTAAACGTTTCTAATAGAATACAAACAGCTATATTGACATGTTTAGCTAGAATACTAAAGGATTTATCTTGTTTAATTATTGTTGTTGTATGTAAAATTTTTTGTAACCAATTATCAACATATTCAATTGGAAGTAAAGTTGATGTTCAAGCAAAATCATCGAAAAGTGTNTTGTTAGGATTCCGGAATTATATGAAAGGGTCATTATAGGAATTCCGGAATTGAGGGAACTGATTCCGGGGGCGGAACTGGTTCCCGCAATGTGCAACATTGCGGAATAGGATGTATTCTCCACCCCACACCCACATCCCACCCCACATCCACCCACACCCACAAGTAAATTTGCTCTAGGTGCTAAATAAAAAAGAGTATATTGCATTACATTAAAAGAAGGATCTTCACTAACCTTCGATATATAATACATGCATTTCATTCCAATTGTGTTGACTAATTGCTAGTCGACGAGGTCCATTAACATATACAGGAAATCCTGTTATTGCATCATGAAGTGCTGCTGATACATAAAACAACGTTTTTTATGAAGACCTGTAGCTTGTGCTGTACTTATATACTTCGGATCGATGTTAATTATTATTGATGACGGTAAAATATTCACTATGTTCATTGTTTCGATTGTTTGAGGTGGAGCACGTCTATCACACGGTGTTAAGTTCACGCTAACGAAACAACCTTGCCCCAAAACTCTATTTCCTGCTTTATCAGCAAGAACTACGATCAATTTGTTAGCCATTAAAGATAAAAATCCACAAAAATTCACTGTTACAATTAAATATATCTATATTTGAGCGAGAATAACAATTAATTCATTATTTCCCCATATACAATAGTTATACGATATATATAAAGCATCCCTGGTGAAACATCTGGTAAGCAAGATCTTAGATCTTGTATGTAAATAAGATCTTGACCAAGATACAAGGTACAGAAAAGTTACCTAAATTTACCAAGATCTACTCACTTTTCTGTATCTTGTATCTTGGTCAAGATCTTGTTTACAAAATGTTCCACTAGGGATACGATAAATTTATATTAGCAACAATATACATTTATATGATCAGTTAGAATGAGGAACGGTTATATAGTAATGACGAAGATGGCGAATAGTCATGTGATCATAAGAAAAGACAGAGATCAGTCCATGGTTAGATAATTTACATACATTGTTTCGTTCGAAAAGATATATATAAACTAATGGATAATTTTAGAGGACAGAATATACTTATCGACTCGACAAGATGTCACATGTAACCGGGATGTTTTCAAAATAGAAAAAAATAAACCAAAATGTGGAAGAAGAAAATAAGTCCAATTAATTCGCCGTTTGATTGTTATTAAAAATAAAAATGATTAACTTTTCTAAGTCTTTTATGCAATGAATAACATACAATACAAAATTGAAAAAAAATTTCATTTTATTTGTATTTCAAGATATTCTTTTCATTTTTTTTACAAAAAGAAATTTGAGTATAACAAAGAAATATTCGTAGTTTCATTTTATTATAGCCATATGCAAACTGTATCTTCATCCATTGTCTTAGGAATTTCCGTTCGAAAAGAACGAGTATTGGAATTTTGCAAATCACGCAATCTTTTTTCATTGATTTTATCATGTTGAATACAGCCTCTAATAATGAGAAAATTTAATTTCTTGAAACCACTGATAAGTATATGCGATATTTTAACGATTTGATCGTCAGTAGTAGTTATTTCTATGACTTGCAAATAAGGTAATCGCTCGACGATTAAATAAGCAATGTCTAATAAATTTGATTGATCTGGAGCAGTAAAAATATTGAGTTGTCGTAAGCCATTTGACATGAGCATATTACATAAAGTAGTATCATCAAAAAGATCGATTAAAGCGTCCTCGTCCAAACCCCTTCTATAATCATATTTTGATCTATAATGTAGGTCTAAAGTACGTAGATTAGTCGTGTGCGAAAAGAGACGAAAAAGATGAGTTGAATTGAATGGTTGAGCAATACTAAGAGATGTAATTTGATGCCAAGAAATGATAGATGGTGCTAATGAAAGAAATTCATCATTGATTTGATCATAATCATTACTCATAACAATCGTTTTGCAGCGAAACAACTGACTGTTAAAGACACCTCTATTATTGGACCACCGACTTCGACTAAATACAAAAAAGAAATGTTTGCTATAAAAATAACTATCTATATATATATACCTATGCGCAGTATTTTTATGTAAATAAAAATAGACACATAAACATTTATCCATTCTTGGTACTGTTACAGCTCTAATACGATACGTTTGGTACATATTTTCTTCTAAAGATAGTTCTAATTCAATTGGCACGGGTCCTTTGAGTTGTTGATATATGTCGGACAAAATTTTGTTTATTTCCAATGATGATAACACTGCAGTTCTCATAAACCAGTTACCACCAAACGAATATAAACATTGATTGGAAAGCATTGATAGTAAATTTTGAAGGATATAGGGATCAGCTATCGTCGCTAATAATGTAAAGTTTGTTAATGAAAATAAAACATCACGTTCAAATAATTTATTAACTGATTCCAGATCAATAATAGACGTAAACCATTCTATTTTTAGACGGCGTAGATTTGGAGCCAGACGTTTATTAATGGGTGCGACTTGACTAAAATGCGTAAACAAGACTATTTTGCCACAATAAAAAAAATGAATCAATTATATTATTTAACTTCTTAATGAAAAAGTTTTCTTTCATTTATCTATGCCAAATCATACGTCAGTGTTCTTTCTATAGACAATATTCGGCATTTCTTTATTCAAATTGTTCTTCTCTCCATAGTGTAGAATTAATGAAGACTTTTTAAATTTCACATTCAATAATTTCTTATTACATAATTATGCCTCAACTGTGCTGAATGAGTTAAAATCTTTTCATAGCATAATCTTGTCTATAGTCATACTTATCTTGAAAGTTTTTCTATTTTTCAAGTCAAGTAAATCTTCGATGTCTTTTTCTCGACATATTCATCAAGTATCTGCTCTCTGATTAGTGCTTAAGAGAGCACCCATGAGGCCATCGAGCAATCGAAGCACTCGTCAAAAAATTTTTTTTTATTTGATATTCTCATTTTGTTCAGCATCATC